GTTAGGGGCTTGAATCTTTGGGTACAGGGGTTCCTGAAGTGCATTGTGTTAGTCCCTCAGCTAATTTCTTCATGCTTTCTTTAAAGACATCAAACGACGTCTAGGGGTTGTTTCAGCTCAGTGTTTTGTGGGTGGCTCTTTGTTCGTGTTCTAAACTGATATTAGCCACTGAAGTGAACCCTCTCCCAGGTTAGGGCTTTTGGCAGTCAGTGTATTCAAAACCTAATTACAGATTAGTCTGTATTGGGACTCTTAGAGCAAGTATCAGAAGACTCAGAAGCCCTGAGAGGAGCAGTGCCATTTCATGTGGGGATAAAGAGACCTAAAATGTGAATGGGTGTCAAGTCATCTAAAGAGAAGAAAAAAGAGAAGGAGCGTCATTCACTGAGGCTGGCGGTTTATGAGTTGAGGATTATGGGAATATTCATGACTCAATCAAGATGCACAACGAATTGATGTTTGAGACGGCTCATCTTTTAAGTAAACATTGGGTAAATGGGAGCGAGTCTCCGAATTCACTCCATGTAGAACTGTGTAACAGAATAGTTAAGCCCTCCCTGAGGCCATTTCATTTATCAAAAGAGGCCACAGATTTTATAAGAATTCTCTATGTGAATATTTAATCCAAATATTTGAGAGAGCCTGGAGTTTGCTTTACAAGTAGCCGTGCTGATTTGTGCTCGGTTGTGATTTTTACCAAATGTATCCTGTTTTACGTAGAAGGCGGTACTCCAGTAGACTTGAGACACTGCCGTTTGCTCTCCTGTGTGTTTCTAAATCAGAGGAAGGTGAGCGGGGATGCCTGCAGGACTGAAGGAGACATTTCAAAGTGTCTCCTTTGAAATCAAATTTGAAATCACTTCAAAAGAGTAGACATTCTTTGATTGAAAGTAAGAGAATAAATAAGCAAGGAATGCTTTTTGTTTGGTTGGTTGATTTTGGTTTGGTTTTGGGTTTAATTTATTTGTTTCATTTTGGGTTGGTTTTGGGGTTTTGGATTTTTGAAACAGGGTTTCTCTGTGTAGCCCTGGCTGTCCTAGAACTCACTCTATAGACCAGGTTGGCCCCAATCTTACAGAGATCAGCCTTCCTCTACCTCCCCAGTGCTGGGATTAAAGACTAAGGAATGCTTCTTAAAGGAGGAATGAATCTCTTGGGGCTGGGGGAAAAGCGGGCAGCCGAGCAGTTAAGCACTGACGACCCACAGAGAGCTAGCTCACCGCTGCACTTAGCAGCACCCACCGCAGGGGAGAAAGACAGGTGAAGTTCTTTAGGGGAGAGATGCTGCTGCTGGCCGCCGCTCTTTCTCCTGGTGTCAGCCATCCCTCTCCTCGTACCACCCACCTCCATTCCTTCTCAGATGCTCTTTGGGGCCTTCTTAAGGTGGTGTGGCAAGGCAATGCCATGTCCTGACATTACAATTGTAAAACTATTCATAAAAGCGTAACCTTTTAAGGGAAACTTAGAATTGTCTGTATTTTTGTGTTAAATAGTGCCATAACTTTCATTTAGGGAAAAAAATATTGCTTTATTTTCTAAAAACTGGACTTCCCTTTAGACCTGACAGAATTAGCCACCTTCCTCAGTGGGGCTCTGTCTCTTCATACAAATAGCTCTTGCTCTGACCTGCCTGCTGCAGGTGATACCGCTATGCCATACACCTCTGGTCAGTCCGCTCCTCGGAGGATGGAAGCCACTGGTGGGGCAGAGGTTGGCAAACTGACCCTGTGGCTGCCCACTTACACTCAGATCATGTATGGAATAAAATTGGATTATCCTTTCTGCGTATGGCATGCCATTCCCAAATAGACTGGCCACCAGGGAGTGATCAAGGGCTGCCGAGGCTGGAAATGCCTTTGTGGGATTCCCCTCATGTTATGCTTTTCAAGCTCGGCGGGGTTTGGGTGGGTTTTTATTGTTTGTTTGGGGTTTTGGTTTTTTTGTTTTGTTTTGTTTTTTTGGTTTTTCAAGACAGGGTTTCTCTGTGTAGCTTTGCGCCTTTCCTAGACTCACTTGGTAGCCCAGGCTGGCCTCGAACTCACAGAGATCCACCTGGCTCAGCCTCCCAAGTGCTGGGATTAAAGGCGTGTGTCACCACCACCCAGCTTGTTTTGGTTTTTATGAGGACCGTGATCGTCTCCTCATAGAACTGCTATGAGATAATTTGAAAAGCTCTTTTCTTCTACTCTTTTAAAGAATGGTTTAAAGAGTTGCATTTATATGAAATTCTAAAAAATACTCATTTTTATTGTAAATCACCTGTTTTTAAACAACTAAATGAATTAGTTGTAAAACTAAGACTGTCTTCATTTGGAAAAACAAATATGTTTTCTGGTTTGGATGCTGATTAAGAAATGGAAGCTAGCCTTCCAGAAAAGTCCGATTGAAGTTCTAAGGGCCCGCACGGTGACTCAGGAAGTATTGTAGTTTGCTTCTCTGTTTCAGTACTAAAACACTCTAAGCAAAAGCAACTTGGAGAGGAAATTTTGTTTGGCTTACACTTCCAGGTCACAGTCCATCATTGAGAGTCAAGGCAAGAGCCTGAAGTAGAAACCGTAGAGGACCAGAATGTTGCTCACTGGCTTGCCGTGTGGCTTACTCACTGGCTCATGCTCAGCTTGCTTTCTTATACAGCTCAGGCCTACCTCACTAGGGATGGTGCCACCCACAGTAGGCTGGGCCCTCCCACATCAATCATCAACCAAGATATCTTCCACAAGCCAGTCTGACCAAGGCAATTCTTCAACTGAGGTTACCTCTTCCCATGTGACTCTAGGTTGTGTCCAATTGGCAACCAAGACTAGCCATCATAAGTCTGTCCTTGTCAACTTACACCCAGTTACATTATATCATACTTAATTTCCAAATTAAGACAGTAACAAGGTTATAATTCTACCTAACATGATGTAACTTTCCCACTTAGAACCACACTTAAGTTTTTCTTAAAATAGGTGGCAAAGTCACCTTGAGGAATAGTCTTTGAGTATCTCATAACAAATACGAAAATATAGATTGATAACACTAATTGATATCTCAGTTGATGTCGTAGTACACTTAACCACTGATATCATCTCCAGTGATGTTGTACATAGAGAGGAAGAAAGCACGAGTATCTGCTTATGTATGCGCATATATGCACAGTCATTCCTAACAGAATAGTACAGAAGCATGAATGTCAGTTACTGTCTTCATTTTTGTGTCTGGTATTCATAACTACCTTCCTCTACTATTCATTCTTTATTTCCTCCACCCTCAGCAAGTACCTCAGCAGGGCTAATACTTTCCCTGGGAAAATGGCCAGTACCTTCATCCCTGAAGGGTCTGGGCCACTTGTCATCTGCTTGGATTGGGTTGTTCTTACTCAGAGGACATGGTAACACTGACGTGTCCTAAAGGATCTCCTGTATCGCAGACATAATCTTCCTTACCTCCATTGTAGAGAAGCAGTCCCCTTCCCCAGTAGAAGTCCGGATCAGTCATCCCTCCTAACACTATTGATTATTCCTGTCTTAGCCTGTTGGCTTAGGGGCATCAGAAGCCCAGAGTGGTCCAAGAGAAGACTGAGCTTTAGTTCAGTGGAATGTTTGTTGTGTCTTTTGGCTAACTAAACACTCCCTAACAACACACACATGCACACGCACACAAAATTTAAAATTATAAGAGAGAGATTGATATTGTCTTAGCTTCTCTGGTTCACTCATCTGTAGAAGGAGGAAATGCCACCCTTGCCTTAACTGTTATTAGATTGTCTTAGTGGTTTGATCAAAACAATAGAGCTTTCTTCTCTACATACTTTCTTACTCTTAATATAATACCAAGAATTAGAAATGCTAAATTACAGAGCATCTGCAAACACCACTCCTTGTATGGGAGTTCTCCGATGCTGTGAAAGGTACAGAAGGACCATCCTTCCTTTGGCTGGGCGCTCATCACCAGTGCACACTGCTAGTAAAATTTATATTTTATAATACAACTTCTTTAATCATGGAAGACATAAATGTTGACCATTAGAGAGGCCTTGTATGACCTTTCCTCTGAGTAGAGAGTAGGATGCTTACCAGACTCTCATCTCGGTCACCAGCCTTGAACTAGTCGGCTCCCATCAATTAGTAATTCCTACTGATATGTTATGTTGAAGGGATGGAAGCATTTCTCATACTGCCTAGTGTAACTGATGTTCTAAGACAGGAGGTGCATGACTGAGTCAGCAGCAATAGCATACATATTAGTGGAAGAAGTGTACATTTCGGAGAGAAATTAAAGGTTGTATGTGGAATCCAATAAACATAAAAAATAAAAATTCAAATAAATAAAAATCTACTTTCAGTGGTTCTTTGTAGTTCTTAACTTTCACATTCACACCTAGACAAGTATTTTCATATGTTAAAAATATTCTCCAGTTTCCTTTGCCTTTATTTCCTGGCATTTTGAAATTATGAATGAAGTATGCATCTCATCGTGGTGATGTTGCCTGACCTTCCTGGTAACTTCACATGTTACTTTTAAAAGGTCCTTTTCCAGACGAGGGACAGTTTTGTTCTCTCGCTGTCGTTGTTGAGATAGTAGGGTCAGATGGTGCAGCCCAGGCTGGTATTCCTTTCACAGTCAGCCTCCCACGTGCTGGGTAAGACATCAGCCACCATTTCTGCTTATTAATTCCTAAAAATAGCCTCATCGTTTTTTGGTAGAGCTTTGAGGAATCTAAGAATGCAGTAAAGCAGTTGTGTGGGTAGGCGGACAGGCATTGTTCTGTGTAAGCATCCACAGCTTCATTAATAGTTTCCCAACGTGGTCTGCAAGTGTTCTCCTCCTCCACCTCCCGGTAGGGGCTGCTTACTGTTCTTCTGACCACCTTGACATGAACCACGGGAGGTTTAGTGAGAATGAGTTTCTCCTTTTCCTCAAATAGTTCAAGAAGTTTTATGACGATTTAATAATAATTCTCTCCAATAATTTATGCTGCCATTGAAAAGTAAATGTGTTTGTATTTATCTCCACAGAGAAAGTTAGAGAAATTCAAGAAAAACTTGATGCTTTCATTGAAGCTCTTCACCAGGAGAAGTAGACTGTACTACGTGAGTAACTCTCAGACTGGGGTGCACTGAATACAAAGCATGTTTCGGAAGCCTTTCTTAATAATTCCTGGTTCTAAAAAAAAAAAAAAAAAAGCCGGGCAGTGGTGGCTCACGCCTTTAATCCCAGCACTCGGGAGGCAGAGCCAGGCGGATCTCTGTGAGTTCGAGACCAGCCTGGGCTACCAAGTGAGCTCTAGGAAAGGCGCAAAGCTACGCAGAGAAACCCTGTCTTGAAAAACCAAAAATAATAATAATAATAATAATAATAATAATAATAATTCCTGGTTCTGCATGACAGTATCCGGCTTGCTTCTCTATGATGCGATCCTCTTGTGAGCATGACTCTGGGGACCAGCTTCCTTTGTGTTGTGCCACACCTTTAAATCATTTGATTACCTTCTGGCTAAACTAAGTGTTCTCTAGAACCCATTTCGGACAGAGCCAAGGCTAATGAAAATATTTTATATGATGATTTTCTGACGTGGGTGACTCCTTTTCTACATTGAAAAACTGACCTGCATTTGTCTTTATCTTACCCTCCTGCTCACAGTAGGTAATTAAGTCAACTTACAGAGCTTCTTTATCCATCTCATTGAAGCTCTTCACCAGGAGAACTAGACTGTATTCTCCCTTGTAATTTCCACATGTGTGGCATACCTACCTCAGGATAGTAGTTTTGCTTTTCTGTGCATTAGTTCCAATGTTTTAAGAAAGAATTCTAGGATTTGGGTGTGGCGACACACTCAGGAGGTAGACAGACACTTTTCTGTAAGTTCCAGGCCAGCCAGGGATACATTAGAGAAGCCCTTCTCAAAAGAAGAAAAAGAAAGAAATGGATTTTGGGGCTGGCAAGATGGGTCAGCAGGTAAAGGAGCTTGCCACCAAGCCTGACAACCTGAGTTCAATCCCCAGGACCCACAAGATAGAAGCCAAGACTCCTGTTGTCCTCTGGTTTTCACACCCACACTGTGGCACAGGTATACAATACACACACACAAATAAATGTTAGGAAAAATTTGAAGAAAAAAAAGAAATGAATTCTGATATACATTTATTTACATAATGTGTTTTAATAAATCTAACAGATTTGAACAATTAGCTATGATAAAGTTACTTAAGTCTTTTCATTTGTCTTGCCAAATCTGAATTTATCTAATGGATTTATTTTTACAGAATCCTGCTCATAATCACCTCTGCATACATTCGAAGAAGGAAAACTTCAGAGTCTTTGTCCTGCCTCCTTTCTCCTGTTCTACCTTTTCAATGCAAAATAAAGTCATAGGGTAAAAATAACGTACGTGTGTCACAGGCACTTCAACCCCAGAAGAACAGTAAAAATGGCACCCACAGTCTTATGTGCTTGTACTGATGTGACAGATTGGGAAAACATAATTGGCATGGCCGTTAGACTTACTCCTCAAAGATGAGGAGGTTATCTCTCGAGTCCTATTCACGGTGGCACCAATGGGATTCATTGTGGATGTCATCAGACATATAATGGTAGTTGCTTTGGAATAAAACTTACGGTGATTTTTTTAAAGACATAAATTGTGTATATGGTGACGGTTGCCTGCTAAGCTGTCATCTGTCTGCAGTGTTCGGTATGCAGGACTGTTTGGCTGTAATAACTCAGTTTATGTTCACCACATGAAAGAAAGCTGGTTTGTAAAAGAACGCTTCAGACAGGTTAACTTGTGTTGGACAGTTCAGTGTATATTCAGTGAGAGAAATATCAGCCCTCCATTGCCAGCTTAGAAAACTCGCCTTGGAAGCCGATAGCAGCAGCTTACCTCGGTTGCTGATTTTACACTCTCTGTATCCATTTGTAATTAATTCTTGTTGATTATTGTGAGCTTTACGTGAGGCTTTATGGTAATAGTAGGGGTTCTCCTGTGGACAGAGCCATTGAATTATGACCCAAAATGGAGAAGATTAAAGGTAATCAGGTGACCAGTTTCATTCCGAGTGCTGTCAAACGTTTGAATCAGGCATCAGGGAAGGACTGCACCACGGCTTTCAGACATTAGTTTAAATAAAAATTATTCTAACGTGGGAGAATATTGACCCAGCCCTCTTCAAGCTGAAAATTCTGTTTAATTCATTGCAGTTCAGTTACAGTATTTTCATGTGTTAAAATTATATTGGTTAGAAGACTTGAAGGGAAACAAATATGCCATATTTTACTTAAACGTCTCTTTCATTTGCTACCCTTTTTTTTTTTTTTTAAACTAAGGCTTTATTGTGCTGGTAAAAAATACCCAGTGTTGCAGTTTTTATTTCACAGTTAATTTTTTAACCAGTTTTCTTGGAATTTTTTTGGTAACAATTCTCTACCCACACACATACTTTTTATATATATATATATATATATATATACACACACATATTTGTGTATGTATATATATATACACACACATACTCTGATCATTGTGATTCTCTGAAAATCTGACAGAATGGAAGGCAAAATATTCCCAAAACTGTAAATTCAGTAAGTATTTTATTTAAATTATCAGATAAGAAATGGAGGTACTCTTCTCAGCAGCGAAGAGCAGCATCCACCGTCTCCTAGGACACGAGTGCTGAGGTGCCTTGTGTCTCTTAGGTGTGGGACCCTGGTGACAGGAGCTAAGTAGAGCCCTGTGCTGATGCAGCAGGGGTCAGGGAGTGGTCTCCCTAAGCCATGTTAACCTAACCGTGGCTGGAGGCCCTGGCCCAGGCCAGCGGAGAAAGCTGATGCTAGGCATTGTATCCCTTTGTATACTTGGGTTTTTTCATTTGTTTGTTTTTGTTTTTTAGGGAAAGAGAACTCCTGTTTCTTTGAGGGGGTCAGTACTTGTGACCTCAACCTAAAAGTAGATTACCAAAAATCCCTGTCATTCTTCACATCCCCACGGGTTATTTTTAATCTGGTTTCATGCTAAACATGTCTTTCCACACACACCTCTCAAAAACAAGGTATTTATCAAATGCAGAAGCTAGGAAAGGAAATGAAGTTCAGTCCAGCAGTCAACCCTGTGTGTCCTGTCTAGTTCAGCTACTTGATGTACAGAAGTTAAAGTCTAACTGGACAAGAAATCATTTGTTTTTCAAGAAATCATTTGTTTTTCACGTCCAAATTTGCAAAGAATGGAGTGAACGAAATTCTGTTTGGAGAACTGAGGGATTTTAAGTAGATGATAAGCAAACCGAATTGGTCGGGATGTCGATTATAAATCCCCAGCCTGTGTACAACGTGAACCAGAGGAAGCAAGCCTGCTGCTTTCCCCGCCCAGCGACCAAGCTGCCATTCCAGGGAGAGCAGCCAGCCCTCCTGGGTCTTATTCCTAGTCCCTCGGATTAGTGGTTTTCCAGGCTGTAGTCAGTGGACATCCACAGATGACCTAGGAACCAAGTGGAAATGGACGCTGTGAAAGTACATGGGGAGACAGCAAGTGGGACTTCCTAACTGTGCAATTCTAGGATGTCACACCCCAGTAGTCCCAGCCCTCAGGTGGCAGAGCAGGACTATCATGAGTTAAAGGCAATCCAGAGGTACGCAGGGAGGCCCTGTCTCTAAAACAAAAACAATACAATTAAGAGTGTAGACTTAACGGTCAAATTTCTAGTTAATTTTCTATTTATTTATTTCAGATGTATTTATCTGATAAAAGAAACATGGTATCCTTTTCTTTCCAGTAAATGAAATCACGGTGCTGGCGTATCTTCATCCTCTACGCTGGCGTATGGTAGACTGTCAAATGCTGTAGCAAGTAGAAATGTGCTTGGAAATATGCTTACCTTCTAAACATCATGGCTATTTGATATCTAAATATTTAAAACTTAACCATGTCTTCATGTGCACTGTGAATGGACTTTGTATTATTTTTTTAAACCGTACACTCGATGTAAATGTTACTTCGACTTATATTTGCCTGTGCTTAATCTAAGGTCATTTGTGTAGATGGGTAATTAAAAGATACTGAAGTGAAATTATAATGCTATTATTGGAGAGCATCTTTTACATTTTCTTTGTTTTAATGAGGAAGAGAGTCCTCTGTACCAAGGGTCGTGATTTGGCCCCATAGTTTAGCCAAATCCATGACCTAAGAAGCTTTCAGAGTGGCTTTTCTCAAAGGCTTGAATGTCATGGACCTTGCATTTCACAGTCGGAATCCATGTTCAGCTGATGTTTCTTTTCCTGACTTGATATTTGTCAAAACACTTTGGTATTTTCTTGGGTAAAATATAAAAAAGGACAGTTTTCTAGTTACACTGTCCTGCTAAGACCCTCGCTTCCACTAATGATGCTGCCGAGTTCAGTCCCACAGGAGGCTTGCTAAGGGGCTTAACTAACTGAGGCCTGGAGGGAGCTGTAAAGATCACTTCTCTCCATCCTGATTAAAACCTCCCATTCTCCTTTCTTATTGCCACCACACTTTGCTCCTGAGTGATGCTTATAAAGTAACTCACTGGTGGTTAGCTGTGCAGAGTACTGTAGTGTTGAACCCTCCTACACACTTGTGTGCTTGGCTGAAATCAACCCTGGGAGAAGGTGCAGAAAGACTATTTCTAGTCCGCAGATGTAAGATCCTTTGTTGTAATTCAAATTTTTGTCCTTTCTGTGGTTCAACTTCCAAATCTTTATCCAAAAGTGAAGAGTTTAGTTACTAAAGATTCAGTCAAACAATTTGTTTTCTTTTAGCCTATTTATGCAGTTAAGGAATTAATATAGTTAAAGTGTGCTAAGGATAACACAAGTATGTTTCATTATATTAGAAAAAATGTATAACTAATTGCATACCCAGCTTGTGGTAAATATGTTGGCCACAGGTTGTACATTAATTAGACTAAGTAGACATTTGCAGAAAACTGGAAGGTCTTAACCTACAAGAACTACAGAATTGTTAGAGGCTAAAAAGTAACATTATAAAGACTAATTAGATGACCTTTGTCCTGGGGAACACAGTTCATAAAATTAGGGATAAGAAAAATGTTCCTCATAAGTCATTAAATTGTTTTCCTAAAATAGCAGAATTGAGTTACCACCTTAAAAATTAGAAACATGACCAAATGTGGTGGTACCTTCTGGAATCCCAGCACTCAGGAGGCAGATGCAGGCAGATCTCTGAGTTCGAGGCCAGCCTGGTCAGCAGAGTGAGTTCGAGGACAGCCAGGGCTATGTAAAGAGACCCTGTCTCAAAAAGGGAGTCCAAAGCCAATCTGAGCTATGTGTCTTAAAACATGTTCGTCTGTCTTAAAACAGTGCAAACGTACATGATTCCTCGTGAAAAGACTTTAGACTCGGGTTCTGTAAAACCAGTGTTAGGATTCTTTTGGAAGGAAGTAATTACTTTTAAGTGTGTTTAAGTCAGCTCTTCCATACCTCTTCGTGATAAAAAATTGTTGCTGCTATTTTTATTAGTAGTATAAACTAATACAGATGTCAACTGATTCCAGTGCGAGTATTTGAGATCAAAGGGGAGACCAGAGACCCCCTCTAAAGACCCAGTCACCACACAGTATTGCTGGCAGCAGCCTCCCAGGGACAGGTCCCCTGCTCACTCCTCCTGGGGACAGGTCCACCGCTCGTCTTGCATACACTGGGTCACAGCGCAGCAGCCTTGAAGTTGGGATTTTATCCACTGTAGCTCATACCAACCGCTTGTGAGACCTTGAAGGTTTTGTGAAGGGACTGGGAAGGCAGAGGTCAGCTCCATCTTCCTGCAAAACTGTCCAGACGACTCACCTTCTTCCACAATGGGATGCCCTGGCTTTCATGTGCAGAACATGTGTGTCTGCTCAAGGAAGGTGACAGTCTCTTCTGCAGAGGTCTAGTGCTTGTCACTCTTGCCCTGAGGTCATCAGTGTCAGAATCGCTACATAATTTTGAACCTGCAAAGCTTTCAATAAAGACAATGGATATTCTGTTGTTTCTGAAAGAACTCAGACTGTACCAGCCTCGTGCTTCAGCCACTAGGAAGGTCTGCAAATCCATGGCCTCTCAACTGGAGGAATGGGCTGGCCAGATCTTCCCGCCCCTTCTATTCTATCTCTTTTGTTATTTTCTGTGCCCTCCCCCACCTCTCCCTCTCTATTTTCTTCTCCCCCCACTTCTTTCTCCATGGTGCTGGAGATTGAAGACTCAACCACTGAACCACACCCAGCCCCAAGTGTAGGCTTGCTCGACTCTGTTAAGAACATGTTTGTCTAGTGGCTGTAAATTGAAAATGTCCACACAGATAATAATGAACCTACCAGCCAGACTCCTGCAATGCCAAATACATATGATTTTTTTTCTGTTATTTATAAATAGCAATAGCCAGAAGTCACCATACTAATGCTTCAGCAACAAACCACACACACCCAGAGACAATAGTGAACCTGTCTCCTCACTGAACAGTACAAGAGTACAAGGTGCCGGCGCAGTGCCGGAAGTGTGTTAAGAGGAGGGCCTGCCTATCAAAGGTCTGAGCTGGGCTCAGTACTGCAAAGAGTCCTGTGAACTAGTCATGAGCAAAGTGAGATCCATCTAGAACTCCCCTGAAACACTAATGGTCAGGATCCTATCTCGACAAAAGATTGTGCCTGTGAATTGATTGAGAAAACCGGAATCCAGAGCAAAAGATCCAGTATGCCTTGTGTTTTTATCACTAGCAGAACTCTTTCCACTTTATGGCTGGGGAATAATTTGTGAGTGACTTTGAGAAAGTCACTGGTAGCAAAGTCAGGCTTGGAAAGCCAGTCTGATTACAAACCACTTTGCAAAGTAACCTCCTCTCTACAAAATGCTTTGAGGAAAGTGAGGATGTGCATGGTATTGGGAGCCCTGGGTACACGATACACCAAAAAGTGCACGATGAGCTCATCATTGGAATAGATGGCTCAGGAACATTCCCATGCGGCTGTCTGTGCTGCAGAAACAGCTCTGGGCAGAGGTGGGCTGTGGTATCAATGGACAGGGCTTGGGTTCGGAGCTCCTGTGAGCCCTGAGCCTCCTGGGCACTTTCCCTTCACCTAATGAATTTCCACCCCTTACTTTTGTGGATATTGATCTTTTTGAGTTAGTCTCCTAAGATGCAGACTTATTTTTACCCGAGCTTTTAAAACTTTTTTTTTCTCTCTTCCGTGGTACCAAATTTAGTTTTCCTAAGTTTCTCCTTTTGGCTGTCTTTTTGTTACTTATAAATCTAACACTTTTGAAAGGAAAGGTGTTAACAGAAGCCTGTACAATTTCAACTAATTTATTTCCAGAAATCTCATCTACGCCCCTTGGTTCTCTTGCTCTGAGATACACCAGGCTTCTCAAGCCTTAATATGGAAATGGCAACTTTTCCTGCCAAGACTCTTCAGTGTATGTCTTTCAGACACTTTCAGAGGGTCTCAGCATCAACACAAAGCCACTCCCATCCTTACGCATCAAGACTCCTCTTTCCAAACATCTTGACA